AAAAATTTAGTTGTTTCTATAATTTCATTTGGCAACTGTTTTTTTAATATTATTATTTTTATATTTTATATGTTTTAAAATCCTAGTGCAGCAGTGTGTATAAACTGCTCATCTATATTTATAATAAGGTTTAATAAACATATGCCATAATAAATTTATGAAGCCCAGTCATTTCTGAAGATATTTTTAACCAGTGCAAAAAATTAGACTTCATGACTACTGAAGAATCTTTGATAGTATCAATAATCAAGGCAAATCTGTAATTCCACCTCTCTTGTATAGTTCAGACTTTGTCACCTAGCCTAAAAATAAAGCTGAATTGTTTGCTAAAAACTTTTAATCAATATTATCTCTTGATTCCACTAGTTGTGTTCTACCTGATATAGCAATCAAACAGGTTAATCTATTGCTTGACAATCGCATCACTCCAGCTTCTATATCTAAAATGATTTCCTGCTTAAACTCTTCTACAGCTTGTGTCCCGGACAACATACCTGTTATAGTCTTGCAGAAGTGTTTTCCAGAGCTGTTGTCTATCCGTTCAAAACTATTCAACCAGTGCTTATCAGAGACTTGTTTTCCAGCCTGCTGGAAAGCAGCATCTGTTATCCCTATTTTTAAAAATTCTGGAGAGCGATCTGCTTAGTCTAACTTTGTCCCATTAGTCTTCTTACTATCATAAGCAAGGTTTTTGAATCTTTATTTAACAAAAACTTAATCTCTCATCTTGAATCTAACAACTTACTTTCTGATCAACAATATAGATTTCGATCTTCTCGTTCTACAATTGCTTTGCTAACAGTAATAACCGATAGAAATTATCGTACATTAGATAAAAATAAAAAGGTTAAGGCCATCACTCTTGGCATTTCTAAACCTTTTGATGAAGTTTGGCATGCTGGTTTTCTCCATAAGCTTTTTTCTTATGGTGTATGTTATGGATTATTAAATCCTTCCTTTCCAATCATAGTATAAAAGTTGTCCTTGATGGGCAGCACTCTTCTTATTCTGTAACCTCAGGGGTTCCTCAAGACTCAATCCTTGGCTCTATACTCTTTTTAATTTACATTAAAAATCTTCCAGATATTCTCACATCTAAGGTGGCATTATTCGCTGATGATACTACCATTTATTCTTGTCATGATAAGAAGCCAACACTCTCTGATTGCTCGGAGGGGGCATTTGAGCTTGAAAATAATCTCACTTCTGCTACAGTATATGGCTGGTAAACTTTAATTCAGATAAAACTCATTTTTTTTCAGCCAAATGTTATCGCAATAATTTTAACCCTCCTATATTTTTGAACAGTAATATACTCAATGAGTCATCTACCCTTCATCTTCTAGGATTAACTTTTACTTCCAATCTTTCTTGGAAACTATATATCAAATCTGTTGCAAAATTAGCATCTGCTAAGGTTGCAACTCTTTATCGAGCTCGAAACTTTTTTACTCTGGATTTTATTCTCTATCTCTATAAATCTCAATCCCGGCTTTGTATGGAATACTGTTGCCATATCTGGGGCTGATCTACTAATGATGCCCTTTCTCTTTTAGACAAGGTGCAAATAAGCATTGTAAACATAGTTGGACCTGCTCTTGCAGCCAACCTTCAACCATTATCACATCTATGTAATATTGCTTCTCTTTCTCTTTTCTACAAATACTATAATGGGCACTGCTCTAAAGAGCTAGGGTCTTTTGTGCCATCTACTAAAATTCATTCTCGTGTTACTTGTCATTCAGTAAAGTCTTATCCTTTTACTGTGACTGTTCCTAAGTGCTCCAAAAACTCTTATTCCTCTAGTTTTTTTCCTCAAACATTAGTTCTTTGGAATTCGCTTCCTTCATCTTGCTTTCCTGATTTATACAATTTGCAATCTTTTAAGGTGTCTGTCAATCGTTATCTTGTTCTACAATCTTCATCTTTTCTCTTCCAGTAACTTCCAACTCTTATTAGTGGTTGCTTGCAGTCTTGTTGGAAGCGAAGATGTTTAAAAAAAAAAACACTCATCATTTTTGCATTTTCAACTAACTTGTTGTATTTATTTTCATCAAGGTTTTTGTAAAATACCATCAATTTTTGTTGATTACATGCCTCTCTTATAACATCACTGCATTGAACATCAATTAACTCCATTCAAAATTTTTCTTTTACAATTTAAATTTCAACAAAGAATGGCATTGTGAACAATGTGATTTTGTAAGAAAGTTTCCTAATATCTAAAAGTTTCCTATTTTTTTTGAAAATCTTGTTTTCAATTCAGCAATATATTTGTGTATTTTCAGGATTCAGCTCACCTAAGATTAGAAAATGACTAAAATTTCCAGTCCTTAACTGCTGTTCCAACAAGGTAATTTCAACTGAAAAGCTAGAATAAGGTTGTTCATTTTTCTAAATAATTGATCTTTTCTTGGGAGATGTTTTGTTAAGTATATTGTAATGTTGGGTCAGGTTTACCAGAAATGCAAACTTTTCGATAAATTTTTTTTTCTAGCTCTGGTGGATAATCTTTCTTTATACTTTTCAAAAAATCTTTAAACTTTTATTTCAAATCAAAAGTTCTTTTGAGCATATTGCCTCTAGAAAGACATCACATTTAAGTGTAATAAAGCAGACCACCATGTTCGGAGTCATTTTCATCAAGAAATCCCTCAAATCCCCTACTTTGTAAAGTGCTAAAATTAATGCTGATAATTGTTTTAACTACGAAAGACATGACATCTTACACATCCATAGTTTTTGTTTTTAAAATTTGCTGATAAATGCAGTTTTATTAATGAGTAAAAAGTCAAGTTATACTTTGTAAAACCTTTTTTAATATTTAAAAAATTTTTTCTCCTGTTGTTCTGCTTTGCATAGGATACCGTCATGCGGGGCTACTTGAGCTACCCAGGGTTACTTGAACCCAAAAAAATAAAATCTTTATTTATTTGTTTATGTTTTATAAAATTATTTGGCATGAAAGTAAATAAGTTAATTATACACTTACTCGAATTAAGTAACATAAAATATAAAATGGGTTAAATTTTTTTGCAAAAAGTGATCAAAAAATATTTTATTTAAAGGAAACGATAATAATGGTAAAAATTTAGTGTAAAACTTTTGTCTGTCTAGACATAACCAAAAAAGATATTAACATTATTTGACAGCATTTCCTAAAAGAAGTATCAGTTACTGCAAAATGTAGCAATTATAATTGTCTTTTAATTTTATTATTTTGATAAAAAGCTTATTTTTATGTTTGAAGTTTAAAATTGGGGAACCCAAATGTCATTGTAGCAGCTTATGTTTGAAAATGATTAAATTTAAAAGGAGTTGATATATTTGTTATTTTAACCATGTTTTTAATATTTGTTAGGTTATAAAATGTATACCTAAATAATGTTGATGATTGGTTAAAGCTATTGTTATACACCTTTTTGCGTATACTTCATGCTATCATAACTGGTTCTACCAGAATGGTTTGCAGATTTAAAAGAAAATTAAGATCGAAGATTTAAAAGAAAATTAAGATCGCAGATTTAAAAGAAAATAAAGATGATGAAGAGCTTACAAAGACCATACCGATCAAAACTTAGAGCAAGTCTGTATTAATATTGAACATGGAGCTATGAGTCAACGATTTGCTGAAGAACAATTTAAATCAGCCGCTCTAGCATTAAGAGAGCGCTTCGAAAATGACGCCTTACTATCACAAAAAACATGCAGGGCATCCAGCTGTCTTCACATCTGAAGGAGAACAGTCATTTTGTGATCACTTAAATAAAGCTTCAACTTTAGGCTACGCACTGACCTCATTTGATCTTCGAATTATTGTGAAATCCTATCTAGATTGATTAGGGAGTGATGGTCAATGTTTTAATGAAAATCTCTCAGATGTCAAATTGGTGTCATAAAGGGCAGGGCTTTTTACACTATGGGTTCAAGTAGCCCCTCAACAGGGGCTACTTGAACCCAATCTTAACCCCCCAAAAAAGGGGGGACAGAAGTCCACCAAAATGTTTTATTCTCTACAATCATCATTACTAATTCACAAGTCCATGTATAGACAACAACAAATTTTTTTTTACATTGACATAAATATGAAAGAACAACAAACATCAAATATGTATCAAATTTGGGTCCAAGTATGACGGTAGGCGTCTAGTAGCTCTTCAGTAACAAAAAAGAACCTGTTCTTTGTATAATTGTTTGTCTTAAGAGGGAAATGTTATTCAAAATTTTCAACCTTTAGGGAAAATGTTTTTGAACACAATTTTAAAGGATTCCTTAATTAACTACCCATCATTGAATGGTTTACAATTTTTAGCTAACATTATACTCGCTTCATAGTTTGTAACAACAGTATTTTTTGTTTTGGTATTGGCCCTTTTTAACAAATCTTATGGTCCAACTAACTTATATTTCAGTTTTTTTGCTTTTTCTTTCCCTACCTCGTTGACAAACAGATTATAAGTTTTTGATGGGTTTAAATCCTATTGCATGCTCAAATTATATTCTTTCCATACTGAAACAGATAGTTTTACGTATAAACACTGATTCATTGCTTATTAATCATACAAACATCAAATTAAATTTATCAAATATTTTGTTTGACATTCACTTTTAAATAAGCACATTTAGCTAGGAATGTTGTGTGCGCAACATTTCTTGATGATTTTCTGTTATTTTAAAGATTTGGAAAAGTTTTAAATAATTATTAAGAATAAATTTTCAAAATGTTTTTTATAAAAACTTTTTTTGTAAACTAATCTCTGTAGGTTATATTATAAATAAAAATTTACACAACTAAAGAGCCAGTCAAATAGTTGCTAAGGACCAGATGCGGCTTGCAGGTCTTATTGTGGCCACCCCTGCACTAGCACAACAATTCTGTTGCTATTTTTTTAATGCTGCAAAACAAGCTGTTGTAAAATACATTATTGTTATCATGAGCAAGTAATATATTTACCTAGCAAGTTAAAAGTGTTGAAATAATTGTTTTTTCTAACATTTAGAAATCGTCTTGGAAAGCTTCCAATAGATTATGCTACCACTGAGGAAATGAAAGAACTGTTCAAAGACGATTCTTTGGTCAGAAACTAATTTACTTTTAAAATTTTTATATTGCGAGTTTTTCTAATAATTTTTAATTAAATTAAAAACTATTAATTGGTTTTTTTATTTTAGGTTGTTGATAAATCATATGTTGAGGGAAACTCTTTTCTTGTAAATGATCTAGTATCACCAAAAGTTTTTGTTACTACTAATCTTTCAGAAAAAGAAAACGTATGTTTAGTTTTATTTAATATATATATATATATATATATATATATATATATATATATATATATATATATATATATATATATATATATATAATTTTATATATCTAAGTTGCTTAGTTTAACTCTTCTTTAAGTCTAATGTATCCATTTGCTGTGAACAACTTGGTGCAAAGCTACAAAAGGATTTTAACATAACTGGTGAGTACCACAATATATTTTTTTATATATAGTTATCATTAATTTAAATATATAATTTTCACTTTTATATCAATCTGTAAATTATATTTAATATCAATCTGTAAATTGATAAAGTAAATGCATTCTTAGCCAAATGAAACCATTTTTGACCTCATGAGTTGTTTAAAGGCATTTAAAAATTATTTGAAAAAAATGAAATAAGCAGACTAACATTTGCACTGAGCTAACAAAATATCTTTTCTAAAAAAACTTTTGATTAGAAAATATCATGTTGCTTTGTGGAGATTTTTTGGTGTTATGGGTAAGTTATAGGTATTGACCAAACTTAAAACTTGCATATGTTCAAAGTTAAGTAAGTTGTAAAAATTATAAAAAAATTCATGAGTTCATTGACTGGTTTCAATAATTTCACTGATCAAATTCTTATTTTTCTTTCCAGTAGCTGATTTCTGATTTCATTGTTTATACTTTATTCATTGGTTTCTTTTGTCTACAAATATTTCCTACCAATAACTGTGTGAAGCTTTAGCTTATTTTATGATAAATTTTTTGGATGTTCCAATTTGTTAAAATAACATTATAAGCTTTCTATTTTGGATAAGTACTTAAAGAAATTTTGTTTTATCACAAAATAAAAAGTTATATTCATTTTTAAATTTTTAGTAACTCATGTAATATGTGGAGCAGACAAATCTTTTTTGAGCATTTCAAGAACAATGAAATATTTGCTGGGTCTTATAACAGGAAAATGGCTAGTTAGTTACCAATGTGAGCGTTTTTTTATTCTTTTTTATTATACATACATACATACATACAATAACTTATAATAATACAATCTAAAGTCTTGTTTTGATTACAACATACATACATATATACATACATACATACATGCAGACAGACAGACAGACAGACATAAAATAACTTTTAATAATGAAATCCAATGCTTGCTTTGCTAACTTTTTTCAGTAAACATTTTTTTATCCATATAACACTGAATTTTGATTTAAGATAAAATTGCAATAAAAACATTTTAAAAAAATATATGAGAGTCTTTTTAAAACATAAATGTGACTAATTAAATTTTAAAATATCTACTGTTATTAACAATAACTGATTTCTGCAGTTTTGAATGATACAGTTTATGATAACTTGAAACTTGGAATATTTGCTTATAGAATCGTTTGAAATCATAATGAACAATTTCATGCTTGACCAAAAACCAAGACTTTTTCTATGTTATCTGTGAGTCACTGATTCCAGAAATAGGCATATGGACAACAAGACCATGCACTTTAGGAGATAATCTTTTAATGCAATATATGCTTGCTTGTAGGTATTAATGTGATCCTTGTAAGATATGTCCTAACTTAAACCAAAACAAACTCTCTTCACTTTATTTAGTGCTTTCATTGCACACATAAGTTTTACTAATTAATCAGGTACAACATCAAACTTAAAATTAAGAATATTCTTATGATATACCATTTAAAAGCATTTTTTATGCACAACAACTTTTTAAATGACACTAAGATCTTAAAAAGAACGGGTTACTGGTTATTTAACGAATAAATGCTATGCATTCAAATAAACTTTTAATTGAGTCTTTGGTGTCTTTTCCTGATGTGCCACAGTTGTTTGTATAAAAATATGCAAATTTTTAAGATCTAATCACCGTATTCACCAATCTTTTTAAAAGTAAGTATCCTTAAAAGTTATTTATCATTATTTTATGTGCTTAAAATCCTATTTCCAATGTTAAGAATGCAAGAAATATTTCAAAAAAATTTAATATAAGTGAAACTATTTTAATTAATAATATTTCATTCCCAGTTTTTATTTATTTTACTTTGTGATGTTTTTCTTCTTGAAAAAGTATTTTTTTAACATAATTGTAGGGATATTAAATCTATTTCAAATTTGTATAAACTTTATTTGATGGATTTATTTGATTGAAGACTGAGCAAGAATTTTTTGTAAAGCATTCAGCTCACAATTTTATTTGATTCTGTTGTTTTTTCCATTATGATTTAATTTAGAAATGGCATCTATGCCATGTACTATTTGCGGAAGTGATAAAAGGCAAATAAATTTTGTCGGTGAAAAAGGCTTGAAAATCCTATTGAGAGCATCTTCTACAAAGAAGGAAACAAATCTAACTCAAATATTTATAGACCACCAAGATAAACAAAAGCCAGTGAACATCCATCATAAATGTCATCGGAGGCTCACTGACTTTCGAAAAAAACCTGTTGGGCCAGAACCTAAGAGGTTACGTTCATCAATTCAAACTGCTTTTCTCTAGAAAATTTTTTTATTTAATTTGCTCAAAGCCTATGCAACATAAAGAGAGGTTCCACCGAGTGCAAATGCTACCATTACACAACAATATTATGGAGTGTGCAAAAACAAGGAATGATGTATGGGGCAGAGCAGTACTTACAAGGTTAGGAACAATAAATGACCTAGTTGCAGAAGAAGCAGTTTATCATAATTCATGCATGGCTGACTTCAGGCTGAACAAAGTAGGGAAAAGTGGTAGGGAAAGATTATCAGATCCTATTATGACCGATGCATTTGAAAACATTTGCGGGTGGCTCAAAAATGCTGCCAGAAGTAAAATATATTCTATTACAGAATTATATGATAAAATGATTGAAGACAATAATGGTGTTGGATATTGTCTCCAAACGTTTCAATCAAAACTGAAGGTAAGGTATGAAGATCACATCCATTTTGTCCAAAGTGCTAGCTGTAAGGGTGAGCTAGTTTTGTTTAAAAATATGGGGACTATATAATAAGGAAGTTTAAAGAAGATGACAGAGCAACAAGAGATAGTGTGGTGAAAGTAGCAGCCAAAATAGTAAAGGAAGAGATAAGGTCAATATAATACAGTAAAGATTTTTATATCACTATTGATGATATTACGGATGGAAAAAAGTGGGTTCCTGAATCATTTAAAACTTTTATGATGTTACTTATTCCTTCCAGTCAGAAGCGGCTGAGTCTGAGCTGATATATCATACAAGGTTCACAACCAAAAAGTGTTATTGCAGTAATTCTATTCGGAGTTGCTGTCAATATTGATAAATCTTCTGGATGTAAACAGCTTATTCAACATTTCTTGCGACTTGGGTTTTCAATCACTCCAGATGAATTGTACCGCTTTAAACAATCAGCAATTGAAGAGATGAGCAGGAATGAAATCAATAACCACAAAGGAATAAGTAATGTATTTAAGCAATGGGTAGCTGATAATGTTAACCACAGTAATGCAACATTAACAGGAAAAGTTACATTTCATGGGATGGGAATAATCTCCATAGAAAAAAAGCACACTGGATTGTTTGGTAAAGTTCCAAGATTGAGACAACTTCTACCAACAACAGCGTTTGCTAACAATCGTGGTATAGAGATTGTTCTGTATCATAAATCTTCGCATATAAAAAAGTTTCAATTTAAAGTAATCTCCGAGGTTACAGTAAGACCGCTCATTTCTGATATCAATAATATGATGTCTTCTTATAATCTTTTGTGGCACGTGAGTTGGTTTTTGTCATCAACTGAAGAACCTCATCCAAACTGGTCTGGATTTTTATAATGCTCAACAAAGCAATTCCCGCAAAAAGGGTTTCAATCAGCTGTTCCATTTCTACTAATAATAGATCTCGATCCCTCCAATGAATCATGTATTTACTAAACTTTGCTTTTTGTTATCTCCCAAGCAAAGAAGCTCAAAGTCGAAACCCCTTGTATAACTTTTGACCAGCCACTTTGGTTAAAGGCATTCAATATCATCCATGCAGATAATCTCCCAATTGTTTGCAGGCTTGGTGACTTTCATACGCTTATGAGTTTTCTCGGAAGCATTGGTACGTGCATGAAAGGACCAGATCTTAACGATCTCGTTGTCTTACTTCCATGGCCTGCAAGCGCATTGTCAAATAATGTTATGGTCACTAATTGATAACATTGAACTAGATGCAACTGAATGGGGCTGGAAACAACACGACGGAGTAACCACACCTATAATGAACGATATAGACATTGCGCCAGAAGCACTAACAAAAGTCATTAAATGTAATTGCTAGGTTTGTTTTGAAATTAATGTATTTTTTCAAACTCCTTGAAAAGATCTTACAATACTTTATTGATATAATTTAAACTTAAATATTTTTTATTTCTAACTACAACAATTTCCTTTTTTGATAATCATTGAGACAACAGCAAAATAACTATGTGGTGGTAAAGCATGTACATGCAGGAAATACGGAATACGGTGCTTGTAATTTTGTGGGGAATGTCGTGGAACAAAATGTATGAATAGCAAGGTAAATTTTAACAAAGAAAATAAGAAAAAAGACGTGTTCTCTCATAATTTATCTTTATTATCACATATCAATATTTCATCAAAATATCAGTCATATATTTGCTTATCTATTTCCTGTAGGACAATGACACTAAAGAAGAAAATGAAATAGAAAATTATGAAGATGACGATAAGAACATATTATGTTTCCCTGATTTCTAAATCCAGAAATATAATTTAAAAAGAAAACGATTTAATTTAGATTTAATTAATGACCATTTTAATGAAAGGTTTTGTTAACTTTTTTTTATAGCATTTATTTGTTAAATAACTAGTTGCCCTTTCATTTTAAGACCTTAGTGTCTTTCAAAAAGTTGTTCAGCATAAAAAATGCTTTAAAATGGTATGTAATAAGTCAATTTTTGAAAATATGTTTTTTTGACTATTTTGGGTATTCGTCTTTTATAAAATTGGGCCCGAAAAAGGGGGTTCTCCTATTGGGAATTGTTGGGCTTTTTTCTTACGCGATCTATGTACCTAAGGGAATCACTGGGCAAAGTTTCAGCTTTATAAAAAAATTTTTCAAAAATAATCTTATTCGACTGGACTATTATTAAACCATATTGCTTTATTCCAAATATTCATGGAAACTGATATTTTTATTTTGGACAGCATTTCATCATCTATGTTATACAAATTGTTTGTATTGATAAATATTAGGTGTAGCTCAACTGGATAGTGGATTTCTGAAACAGGTGTATCATCTGGTAGATCTAACAAAGGATTTTGAACAAAATTCTTGAAATCTGTAGCAGAGAGTTTTTTCTGTGAGTTTCACAAGCCCTTTTGTAATATTCTGCATTATCTATAAAAAAAACCAAAATAAAAATTCTGAATTAAGATATCCAGCATGACTTTTTAATTGTGCAAAAAAAAACAATTTTAATAATGATAAACCAATTCTCAAATACATTGTATGATCATAGATTGTGAGATCCTGCATGTCCTTCTTTTGCAGTCTACACCAACTGCAGGAGTGAGTAGGTAAAGCTGCTTCAATGTCAAAATAAATATTAGCAAGTTTTAAGTCAAATGCTGAAAAATATTTCTTTGTCACAATCCCTAACAGATCTATCACCTGCTTGATGTTGTGGTTGATGTGCTCTTTGATATTTTGATCAGTAGCTATAATTATAAGTTTTTTAACTCCTTGAACTTGTCATGATTTAAACCTTCTTTGTATGAGAACTTGGTTTTTGGTTCATTTACTTCACAGTCGAGAATACTTAAACAAAACTTTTAAAACATCTATCCTAGTATATCAAATAATATAGGAATATTTCTCACTTTCCCACAAGTTGATTGATTAGCTCAGACACATTTTTGAGACAGTACTGTCCCAAGATTATGCTTGCAAACGGATATATTGCAGGGATGTGGTAAACCTCATCCCTCTGTACATAGACATTTATAGCATACAGATACAAATAGGGATTATGGCAGAATTGTTTCAGTGGGTGCTGGCCTTCTTTTTTTTCAATTTTTGACTGATCCTGAGGATTTCCCTCGCAACATCACAAACTGCGAATTCACATGTAGACGTCTTGTAAATTGGTACTGTCGAAAACTCATATGGTGTTGAAAGAGTTGCTGATTCTTTTATACCTTTTGAATGAGCTCCAGAGTTTTTCTGTCACGTCCATTTTTGGCGGTATGAAGTTATTTTTACCACTATTTAGTATTTTAAATTCTCTATCGTTTCATATACCACACAAATTTGATAAATCAATTATTAATGAATTATTTTTTATTTCAGCTATTACACAAAAACTTATTATTTTAACTATTACGCAAAAACTTATATGTTCATTATCTCAAAATGATGTTTTTGAACTACCAAAAACATCATTTTGAGTGCATTTGAGTTATTGAGTTATTGATAGTGTGTCTCAAATTAATGTTTTTTTACTGTATTGATCCCTAAGGTATAAGTGAAAAAAGTCGCGTAAAAACTTAAGTTATTAAAATTTTATTATATGCTGTCTCCTAAAGTTTTTTATTTTTAAATCCATTTATCTCAAAAATGTGGATATAAAACAAGATAATTCTAACGTCGCGAGATCCTTCCATTTGCATTCATTGTGTATGTTTTAGGGATCGTCCATAAATTAGGTGACGCGAAGTTTATCTAATAGACAAAAGTAAAAGTGTTAAAAGTTTTCCCTCGCAGAGTCTTTAATTAAACCATGTATAAATAACCCGCGAAAGCCGCCGCTCTAAAGAGCAAAATGCTCTACTTATATTTTTAAAATAAGCTTTGTGTTGCGTAATTTATGGACGATCCCTTAACAATTCCTCAAAGAACATTTTGATTGCCGAATATCACCACTTTACATTTTTTTGCAATTGCTCCATACGCCAGATGTTGCACCATTTCACAATGTTGTCAAACTTGGTTTGTATTTCTGCTTGTTTATCAAATAATTCTTATATGGATATTATTTTGCTATTGTCAACACAAATTGTAAATTTGTTCAGCAAGACTTTTGGCAAGTTTTTCATGAATAACAGAAACAAAACCGAACCCTGAGAAACGCCACTGGTAACAGATACTTATTCTGGAACTGTTTTACCTATAGTAACTCTTAGTTTCCTATTTGTAAAGAAACTTTCAATCTAGTTATATTTAGCAGTTATACCATATACTTTAATCTTATCCAAAAATCTTTTGTGTTTTACTTTATCAAAAGCTTTTACGAAATCAAGATATATTACGCACAACGGTTTACCCTTTGTATTTTCGTATTTGATAGCTTCATTCATCTCAATCAGATTTGTTATGCATGATTTATTTGGAACAAAACCAGTTTGCTCCTCAGAAATAAGACTATTTGAAATTTAATATTCCAGAATTGCGTTCCGAATAAGCTTTTCAAATATTTTACAAATCACAGACGTTAAGGTTACTGGTCTATAGTTTTCTTGTTCAAGATTAGATCCCTCTTTTTAAATTGGCGATATATTTGCAATAGGCCAATGGTAAGGGATACATTCAGTGTCAAAACTCGATTTAAAAATATAGATAATTAAATCAACAAAACCTTTTGCTGCGTGTTTTAAAACAAAGGTACTAATTTTATCAAAACCCATCGCTTTTGACTCATCTATACTTTCTAACATTTTTAGTATTTTTTTTCATTGGTAATCATATTAGACAATTTACTGCTATCACACTGGTTTTCACATCTTTGCAAGAATTCGGGTATTGCTCGGTCATTACCATTAACGTTTTGATTACTATTTACGTATGAGAATAAAAATTTTCGGTGCAAGTTTTGCTCTCATTACTAATTTATATTAGTAAAGAGAGCCATTTTTTATTGTCGAGTTGATCTTTTTATTTGTTTTTTAGCATTAGCGCACATTTTGTTGAATACCCTTCGAGCACATTCAAATAAAATAGAAAATGTTTAATATTTATTGCCTTTTTAAATTTTGCATCCAACTTGTTTAAAAATTATAAAATTGACTATTTGGTATAGAGAGCAATCTTTTAAAACTTTAATAAATTCGTGCTCAGTTGAATTTTCATTTGAATGAATTATTAGACTGTCCATTCTATATTAAGGTAATTGAAATCTCTTATCACAATAAGATCCGTGTATTTTTTGCCACTTTTGAGTTCGAAGCAGTAATGATTAAGTCTAGAATTGATTTTGCGTAATCAGCTGTAGAATTTGGACAATATTAAAAACGCTGCTAAAAAACGGTATTTTATGCTTGTTAAAACTATAAATCTCCAGAAAGATCTTTAAGTTATTCTTGATGAAATAGACCACAAAAAAGTTGAACAAGTTACTGAAAAAGCACGCGAAAAAATGTTTCTGAAATCAAAAGAGAGATTATTTAAAAAGTTAAAAATTCTTCAAAACGAATTTAAAATTAATGACAGTATCTGTAAAATAATCACAGTAATCAAATCTGTTAACAACTCGTACAAAGAACGCTGTTTTAAACCTGTGCGATGTCGATATTCCAAAAAACCAAAACGACCTTCTTAATTTTGTTCAACGAAGGTACAAAATCTCAATCCACGTTTTGTACCTTCGTTGAAATATATAGCTTACATGAATAATATTGCAACCACCAACGTTTAAATGAAAATTATTACACTTCATTGAGCACAAGACTTGTTCAAACTCTTTATTGTTAAGATGCTGATTAATAATTTCTATATTCGTAAGTTGTTTATTTGTATAAATATCAACTATAATTCTCTACAATTAGAGGAGGAGCTGTCTCTATTGCGTTGCAAGTCCTCATTTATCTCCTCTTTTTATTCAACTGTGCAAATTCAGCCTGCTTATCAGGACTGCAACCAGGTCGTATATAAACTTTTTTGTATACCTCAATTATATATATTATATACATATATATATATATATATATATATATATATATATATATATATATATATATATATATATATATATATATATATATATATATATATATATATATATATATATATATATATATATATATATATATATATTTCCGTCAACGTGTTTTATGTTTTGTATTTGTTAAAACAATAATTTTAACTGGATGAGGACGTATTTGGATATAAACAGTGTTGTGACCTTTATTAATTAATAATATTTAGTTGTGTTACTAGTTTAAACAATTTTTTAGGGATAATGGACAGTCTTGCAAAAAAAAATTGGCAGAACGAAAACGATTATGAAGTAAAAGGGATTCCTGGAGCTTCAGATAATATTCCAATGAAATCTCGAATAAATCGTTTAAAATATGTAAATATTTTAATAAAATATTTTTTTGTAATAATAATTTAATTTTTTTAATAAAAGTTTTATATAATTTATATTGTTACATTTTTGAAGTAAATATTTATAAAAATGTCAATTTTTATTACAGTTTTAATTTAATTTTAATACTTTATTTTTAGCTTCCCGGTTTGTTTGAAGGTTGTTCGTTTTATTTCTCTGGAGCTTACAGCGTTCTCTCTAAAGATAAGCTCTCTGAATTAGTAAAATATGGTGGCGGAAAGATATTGCTGAGAGAGCCCAAAGCAAATGACTTGACTTCGATTATACCTAGTTCTTCTCGGCGTAAAATAGACATCCTTCCAAAAAATCTTTCACCTGTGATGATTTTTCACGCAAAAGAGAATTCCTCTCAAGCATGTTGCACTGAGTACATTATATACGACCCGAAGATGTCACCAAAACACAAAAAAATGTATAGCCCTTTACTTTGTTCGGCACCAGTTTCCTGGTTATTAGATTGTGTATCTTGTTTTGAGATTTTAGACGTTCGCGATGATGATCAAAAAAACTAATCATAAAGTATTACAGTTATTTGAATTTTTTTATTAAAATTTCTATTATTCTTTCACAGATTTTTTAGATAACCTTTTCTTTTTCAAATGTCGCTTGCCAGCTGTTTGTATCATTAAAGATTTCTTTGCTGGAATCACATACTTTGCACAACAGTGTGCTGGGCATCCGACCAAACATGACGTAGGGGTACAGCTACTTGTGCACCCAACTGGTAATGGAGGTGAGCATAAAACGCATGATGGAATGTTTTGTGGTGGGCAAGAACCTGTCATGCAAGGTGGAGGCGGTGGAGGGCAACTTGTTTGACAAGGTGGTGATTGCATAGGAGGAGGAAAAGAACATTGAATACAAGGTGGTGGAGGAGGTGAGCAATATTGGCCCATACAAGGTGGTGGAGGAGGTGGGCAATATGCTTGGCACGGTAGAGATACAGGTGCACATGGAATACATGGACTTGATGGTGGTGGACAACCTAATCCCATGCATTGAGGAGTTTGTAATGGGCACGTTAGTTGACATGGTGGTGGAGGTGGTGGTGGAGGAGGTGGTGGTGGTGGTGGTGGTGGAGGTGGAGGAGGAGGAGGTGGGTTGCATAAAACGCAAGATGGAGTGGATGGACAACTAGGTAATGAACACGGTGGTGGTGGTGGGGGGCATGATGGTGAACAAACTTTAAATGGTTGGTATGGAGGAGCAGCCGGTGGTGGATAATTTGGACCTGGCTCATATTTTGGTCTTTCAAACCATTTTACTGGTTTTGCGGGAGGCGCTGCTGGTAGCATTGGACCTGTGCAACACTGCTGAGAACAGTCAGGAGAACAAGACGCTGGGCATGAAGGAGCACATGCACTTTCTGTATCTATAATAAAACAAATACTTATAACATAACTAAAAAAAACCTTTTAACAAAAGTTTGTTTTTACGATTTAAATAAATGTTTGTAATTATTCCGACATTCATAGAATTGTAACTCCTTAAAGAGTTTTAAACGACTTTTATAATTTGTATATAACACTAATAATTAGTTAGGGTTCCAGCACAAGCTAAATATGGAGTTATTTACAATCTTGGTCTTAGCTAAATAATATTACCTAGGGTTGTTAGCGGGGGCTAGGGTAAAACGCAAAATATGTTATATTTTTTTATATATTTGTTATTTAAATACTGACGTATATGCATATATTTGTACAGAAAAATATATTCTGGCATATAATATGCTTATATATGTATACAAATGCAATTTTGTAAGTTTGCAATTTATAACATAAACCAAAATACGTCCGTGTACCTCTTTTTCGGATATAAAGCAACTGATCTGTTAAAAACTTTTAAAAGACTGAGCTATTTATTACAATTTATTTAAAATAACAGTGCTTGTTGAACCATAACCTCAAGTGTACACTCACTGTGTCCATCGTTACAAAAATCAGTCGTATGTAAACCTGTCCCAGTATTAATTATAAAAGCTTTTGGTATATGTATATATATGCGTACAATATTTATGTGTGTATTAATATTGTGTAAATATGTTTAAAGGCAAAATACAAACTAAAAAATATATTTTAAAATGAAGCTAAAACCCAGATAATAAAGTAATATCGTGAGATGGTCCTCTAGGAATATTGTGCATAAGTTAATTTTTTTTTATTTCGGAGAGTAAAAAATTTGTTTTGAAAACATTAAGCTTTTGTCGTTTAGATTATTAAACATATTGTACGTTGTAATGAGTCTTTCTAGACCGTAAAATAGACTTAATAGAGTAGAGCAGATAAGAATGATGTCATCTTATAAGCTACAACACTAGTAAAGTTTCCATATATAGAGGTTCCATGGTTGTCCTCATTTTTTACAATTTCAAGTAGATTTTCAGTGTTCGTGTACAGAAATAGGGTGATAAAATTAATCCTTCTCTCGCTCCTTTCTTAAGAGCAAATGAAACTAATTTGGAACTTAGGTATGAGACAGTGACACTTCTGTTATGGTATAAAGATTATATTTTGTTGACTAATTGGAGAACTAGATTTTTCTTCAAAAAAAAGTTCTTTAAGGCTTTGGATTTTATTTTTTGCAATCTGCAATCAGTTTTCCGACGTAAAAACCAACAAAGATTTTTCATCACATTTAAATCAAATTCGGTTTGATATCTAGTTTCCGCGATGGAGGTAATTGAACCATTCTTCTTGTTTGACGCTTACTGCATCTAATTTTTGAGGAGTAAAATCATAGTGTATATGCAAAAAATGCATCTAAAATGATATTTATTTAACCTATTTTTCTAAAGAATCATTTTTTTAAATTATCTTTTATCGATAATATCGATTATGCAAGATTTCTTCTTTTTTCTGCCGTATTATTATAATATTTATTGGTATTCTATATAATCATTATTAATTCAGCAGAAACATCCAGAATTAAGGTATTTATTATTATTAAGGTGTCTTAAAACAAAATTTCCTCAACTTTTAATATGCCAAATGGAGCATTCTTCATATTTAGGCTGATTAAAAATTTGATCAATGATTTTCCAAAACTCTCAAACAATTTCAATCACAGAACTCTTTGAATCTGCAAGTATTGAACTTGAAAAACTTAATACTTGGTTTAAATCCAACATATTATCATTGAATACGGAAAAAACTAGCTACATTCTGTTTCATTCCAATCAAAGAAAAAAATCTATTCCAAATATATTACCATTTCTAAAAATAGAAAATAAAATTTATCGAAACAACCAAAGCGACAAAACTTTTAGGGATACTTATCGATAAGAATATTTCATGAAAAGCCCATATAAACTTTTTAAATACTAAAATAAGAAACAACATTTGTTTGCTTTACAAAGCTAGACCATTGTTATCCTAAAAAAGTTTAAAGCAACTTTACTTCTTATTCATTCAAACTATTATACGTATGGTAATATAGCATACGCAAGTACCCGTAGATCCAACTTAGTGGCACTCTATCAATATCAAAAACATGTCGCAAGAACAGTATTTAATAAAGATAAGTTTACTCATCTGAACCTTTGCTAAAACTTTTAAATGCACTGAACGTCTATAAAATTAACATCTATCAAAATTTTTCATTTTATCTATCAAAATTGTTCATGCTTAAATATAAACTTAGGCTTCTTCTACCACATTTTTCAAAAGAGATTTTTAAATGCAATAGAAATAGATATGACAAAATACTTACACATTCGAGAATACAGTATACACTCGAGGAATAGGAAATTTTAATTTACAATATAAAAAAAACTATTGCGTTTCTTTATTTCACCCTTACCTCTACAACAAACTAATATCTAAAATTACAAAATTACATTACCTAAATCCTCTAAAAATACTATAAAAAAAACTTGTATATTAAAACAAATAACTAAAAAAAACTAAAAAATTAACTTCAAAGCAAAGTGTTAGATTTTATTTATATTTCGTACATGTCTGTCAATATATAAAGTAAAACAAGCCATATCATAATATATCTGCATGTATCAAACACAGCTCTTTTCTGTTTTTGATTATCTAATAGCTTTTTATATGCGACTCTAATGCTATCATGAGAATTTGCTTAAGTGAAATTTTTTAATAAATTAAGTATACAAAAATATCGCAACTAAAAGCGGTTTCTTGATATCAAGACCACAAGGTCTTCTGCAAGTTTTCCGTGTTCTTTTAACAGCATTATTTTTTTATATTTATTGGTTATGCTAAATTTTTTATTTGAACTGAAAAAAGTTCCTATTAAAAATCTAAGTAGTATTAGGCCGGGTGAATAAAAAAAGCAGTTGCTTTCACTCAGTAATTTGTCAGCTTTACGTGAATAAAAGTTTTAGTAACTTTGATTAAGTTTTTATTCACGTAAAGCTGAGCAATTACTGATTAAGTTGCTTAACTTTACGTGAATAAAAATTTATGCAAAACTGCTGAAGTTTTTATTCACGTAAAACTGACCAATTACTAAGTAAAAGAATATGCTTTTTTTTATTCACCTTGCTTTTTGTTTTAATAAAAAGTGACTGAAATTTTGATCATTTAATGATAAATTATAAATAATGTATCGTTATATTCCACAAATTAATTCTAATTGCCAGGTTTTTTTTTTATTTACACTTTTTTTGCCGATAAAAAAAAATTTACAGTCGTAACTTATAAAGAAAATAATTACATGACCGGGGCTAGAAGAAGACAAATTTAGTCTTATCATTAAGCCCCAAAGATTGATAATTTTTTACTTAATGTCAATTTTTTGAGCTAGTTTTAGGTATTATATTATATTATCAAGTGTTTTGGGTAATGAAGCAAAAATTTCGGATGCCCAAATATCTAAATGGATCATGAGTAATGATCCCAAAAAATTGTTTGTTCGCAAAAAAAAAGGATACAGCATAATTATTTTTGAAAAATATTCCAACTTTTGTTTAACACTTAAAGGACGGCGAGGTTTTTTTTAGGAATAAATTTTGCTATATATACTTTATATTTTATATTTAAGCATTTTATATTTAACATTTATATTTATAATAATTATATTTTATATTTAAGCATTGTAGCTATAGCTGCTTGCTGCTGTTGCATATTTTTGTTATTATTTAGCGAATATTAAATTAATAATACAAAATAATTGTTTGTGATATTTCTTAAAATATTCCAAACATTATTTTTAAATTTTATTTTGTTTTGTTTGTTTAACACTCAATTTTTTTTTTTTTTTTTTAAATAAATATAATGAACCGACCAGCAAGAAATGCTATAGTTAAAGATAATAATATTATTTTTGATTTCAATGAATTATGTTAAAATGATGACTCAACTAATGAAATTTTTACTAGTGATGGAGAAGATAATATCACAATTGGTGATGAAGTTGATGTAATTATCTCTGATGAAAATGATAAAGAAACTGCTCAAGAAAATTATACTTTAAATCAAAATATGATTTCTAAAAGTGAAATTTCAAAAAAAAGTGGTATGGAAATTTGAAGTGAATTTTTGCATTTAAACTCTTTATAACACCGGAGACAATTAAAAAACATTGTTAACTTCACTAATTCAGAAGCTCGCAGAAGAATACTAGAACGATAGATTGATGCAACAGCTAATGAGCTTTATGAGTTTATTGGACTTTTTTATTAGCTGGAGTGTTCCATTTCAAAAACCAAAATATGAAAGAGTTTTAGAGCACATTAGATGGCGTCCCTATCATTTCGGCGTCAATGCAAAATCAGCAAGCATTCTGTAATGGAATTTCAGTGAACCTATTTAGGTAATTTGGACGGACTGCTGAAGTTTTACTCATCGGTTACTTAGTGGGCCATTAGTGGCAGTCGTCAAAAGTGGCTAGCCGATAATTAGTCACTATAAACATGTTGGAAAATTGTCAGCTTTCCATTTATAGCGGCTGCATTTAATGGTCCACTAAGTAACCGTTGAGCAAAACTCCAATGAACCACAAAAAAATGCTTATATAGGTCCACTGCAAATCCAGTAAAACAAATTTTGCTAGGAAGAGATTGATTTGTTAACTTGCGACAATGCGTTCGATTTGATGAAAGAGAAACTAGAAATCAAAGACGTTTTCAAGACAAGTTTGTACCTCTAAGAAATATAAAGGAGATATTTTGCACTAAATGTAAAACTAACTTTAATCCAAGTCCCTACCTTATTGTTAATGAGCAGTTAGTTGCATTTAGGGGACGTTGTCCTTTTAAGATTTTTATACCTAAATAGCTAGGAAAATATTGAATGAAGGTCTGGATATTAGGTGTTTCTGAGTCTTCTTACTGCATAAACTAGCATATGTTGGTCGACTTAATGGAGTACTTGATGTTGGACAAGGTACACGAGTGGTTCTTGAATT